CCCCAAAACCCCAAAACCCCAAAACCCCTCATTACAAGATTATAACTAAATTTACAATATTATAATTAGAGTTAATTTTGAATATTCCATTTAATTTCAATCTATTGATTTATTGAAACTTTGAGAATTATAATGCAGAAGGATTCGGTAATCAGTTTTATCTAAGACTAAGATGAAATCTTGGAATTTCAGTTTATTAGCAATAACACGCACCTCATATTCAGTTGGTATGTTTTACTCATAATAATTGAATTACTATGATAACAATGTCCAATAATATGTTTTAGTGCTTCACAGAGAAAAGATAGAGAGATACTAATCTGCTTATTATATTTATATGATTATTTGAAAGCAGTCCATGGTCAATAAAAACTGCGACTAAATGTAGGAAATTTCACTTAAATAATTTTATCTCAATCTAATAAGTTTTGTTTAGGATAGCTTAACCTTGAAGACTCTTACTCTCGATGAGATTGCTGTGTTCAAAAAACAAAAAATAAGAGTGATTCCTTAAGACTCTTCCAAGAAATCATCTTTTAAATAGGTAATATAAAGAGGAAGCTAATCTCTAAATAGACTCAAACATTGAGAAGAAAGATATATGTCTGCTTAAAAGATGATAAATCGTTGTTATAACATGAAATCAAAAGTATTTCTGACAATAAAGATGATGACTAGCACACAAAGGGAGTAGTAACCTCTAATATTCACAAAACTGGCTACGCCAAAATAGCTCAACTGATATAAATGCCTGAGATAATTGGATCAAATGTTAACCTTAAAGAAGGGAAAACAGATGACAGCTAATTTGATTTATCTCCTTAAATCTCTGGTACATCATTTCCCACCACAAATAGAAAATTTTTATCTTTGAAAACAATGCCAAAGCCCATCTATTCCATTATTGAAGTAAGAGCTCATAATAAAACTGATGATTGCTGGACTATTGTAGATGGATATGTCTACGATATTACAAAGATTTTAAAGACTCACTCTGGAGGATTTAGTAAAATATTCTAAGTAGCTGGCTCAGATGGTACATAGATGTTTCGTAAGTATTACCTAATTTACCAATCATTTTTAGAGGAAGGACACTTTGCGGTAGATTCTAGACACTTCTTATCTCCATATGAGATAGGAATTTGCGAGGACTACATTAAATATTGAGAAAATGTTAAATTATGTCCTTTGAAATTAAAATATGAGATTGCAATTTTTAGAATATTTGCTACTCCATCAGCTATCTGATCATTAATAATCATTAATGATGAAAGTATATTTTACATTAAGCTAATTTCCTTTAAATCTTCTACTTAATTAAAAATTCTTGACTTACGGGGTTTTGGGGTTTTGGGGTTTTGGGG